CCCACATCTTCAATGTCTTCTTGACTCACTTTAGATAATAACAATCATTTCAATATAAAAATTGCTATAAGTAATCAAACTGAAAATATAGAATAAAAAACTACAAAATAGCGAAAAACACTTCTAAAATTCGTTAAAAAACATACAAAGGAACAAAGTTTTAAGAAAATCGTATTTCTAGCAAACTCTAGTACAAAAAAACTGGTGAGGTGGGGTTACGCAAAACCCAATTCGTACAAAAATCGTAACTTCGTACACCAAGTAAAATATCCGGCTTTTTTAACACCGGTAGATTACTGACGGATAACAGACCGAAAGCTACACAGGGGGTAGCGAGCCTCGCACCATTATTTAATACGTAAGATAAAGATTCTTAGAATGGGTGGGGTTTGGAAAACAATTACAATTCGGCCGAAGAATAAAGGCATATTAATTCATTTTTTAAACTTTAAAATCGAAGATATTTTCAAATTTAGATTTTAAATGCAAAAAAATATCATCAGAAAATTTTGAATGGAAAGCATGAAATGATTGAGGGTCTAAAAGCTTTAAAAAATACAACTGACGAACCTCTTTATACCTGTCAGGTATTTCGTTTTTAACTTTGTCAGCTATTTCTCCTAAACCTCCTTTTACCCATTACTACCTATAATTATATTACAGAAAAAAAAATTTCATTTAAAATAGTTTAAGTGGATCTTCATAAAGCTTCCCTGATAATTTTCGGGCCAAAAAATTATGTACCTTCTAAAAAAAGGGGCGTCCCTTTTTTGGGACGACGGCTAAAATGATTGTTATAATATTATTTTTAAATTAAAGTAATAAAATATACAACTTATGTATTGTTTTTATAAGAAAATATTGTTTTACAATTAATATGTATATTAACATTTATTTTATTTTGTATGAAAAGTAACAAAATACACATCATGTAATGGAACTACACATTTACAACAAATTCTTTTTGTCTCTTTACCACATGAAGCACGTCTTCGTTGAGTCGGAAATGGGGCTATAGGATGCCCACATCCATTAAACATCACATCCAAACTTACACGTCCTTCCAAAAGTTTGGATGTTTGTAAGGTCGATCTTCTTGGAGCCGAGGAAGTTGTTTTAGAAAGATAGGCCATCACTAATTTCCTGATTACATCTAACAGCGACGCGTTTTCTTCACGATTTGTAATTTGATATAATGTCCAAGTATTCACAATACATATAATAACAAAAAGAGGGTGATTTATCCCTAAATGATACAATAACGACGATTTGACTATTTATTGTCCCCAACAAAATCAAACCAGTGCTTCGTCATCACCCAATCCTACATTGAGGCAAAAACGACGTTTAGAAGATCCTAATTTGCCCCCAAATTTAGAAAGCGAAATCGATACTGAATTTATAAAGGAGATTTAAGAATTAAAAAAAATTAAGCTAAACGAGCAAAAACAAGGAACAACACCAAATCTAAAGTCTGATTCTGCATCCCGCATGTACACCAGATCCACCTCACAAACAGGAGCTCAATCTAAACCCAAATAATCTGTATACATACATGTTCTGTTTTTAAATTTTTGCTATTGATTTTATTTGTTAATTTGTATATTAAATCATTACTTGTTTAACGTTTGTATATAATATTTAATGTTTGGTATTTGTATTATATAATTTGTACTAATATATTTAGATATACATAGGTTATTGATTGGTTATTTGGGCAAAAGATATTTACATTTTCAATTTTTTCCCCTCAAAACTGAAAGAAATGGATCCTTATTTAAGAGAGTTCGATTCTAACACAAATATTATTAAAACGGACATTTTAAATAATGCATTTGAATGTAACGAAGTATTTAAAATAAATTCTAAGAACACAAATTTTAAAATGGTAAATCTTAATATACGTAGTATAAATAAAAATTTACCAGAGCTCGAAATCTTTTTAGAACAATTTTCAACAAAATTTGATTGCATAGTTCTAACCGAAACTAGGCAAGTTGATATTGATTATGTAAAACTGGATGGGTACGTGGGGATATATAGTGAAGGCGCATTTAACCAAAACGATGGTGTTATAATTTTTTTGAATGATGAACTGGATTTTACATACAGAATTGATTATATTAATCAGTGTAAAGTAGTTAATGTTAAAATCAAATATTGTAAATCTAAAACCATAAATGTTATAGGTATTTATAGGCTACACGGTGTTAACTTAACTTAATTTTTAATTGATATTGATTTATACTTTAAATTATATACGGCAAACAATAATTTATGTCTTTTTACGGGAGACTTAAATATAAACCTACTAAATGAAACTGGCGCTTCAAGTGAGTACCTAGATATAATGGCGGAATACGGTTTTAAATCACTTATTAACGGCATAACTCGCAAACAAGATAAGGAAGAATCATGCATTGATCATATATTTTTAAAAGCCAATAATAATTTATACAAAAATGTTCTTCCAGTCATAGTCACAACAAATATAACTGATCACTATCCAACTGCTACACAGATTATATTAAATGATGTAATTAAACCACAAATATCAACAAGAAACTTTATTAAACAAATAAATTACAAAAACTTAAAACATGATTTACACAATATAAATTGGAATGAAGTCCTTAATAGTGAAGTTGAATCTGCCACAGAAAAATTTATTAATATTATTAAAAATAAAATAAATAAACATACAATATTTAAAAAGATTAAAAAAGAAAATAAAAAGCGTAAACCATGGATTACAACAGGCCTTATAAACTCAATTAATCATAGGGAAATTATTTTGGAAACATTTAAAAAAACACAGGATATAAATATAAAAATACAGTATAATACCTACAAAAACCAATTAAAAAAATTAATAAATAAAGCTAAAAATGAATATTATAAAAATAAAATTAATGATTGTATCAGTAACAAACAAATTTGGAATACAATAAATAACTTTAAAAATCCAAAATCACAAAACAATGAAATCAAAGAATTACGTCACAATGATCAAATAGTATCAAACAAACAAAAAATTTCAAATATCTTCAACTATCACTACGCTACAATGGGAGATAAACTAGCAAATAAAATATATAAAATTAACAACTTTAAGGAAAATCGCTTAAGACTTAATAATTCACTGTTTTTATTACCCACATGTCCAAATGAAGTCAAACAAGAAATACAAAAACTAAAAAATAAAAGATCGGTAGGCATAGATAATATACAAAGTGAAACCATTAAACAAATTTCTGATATAATTGCATACCCTTTATCTAAGATAATAAATAAAATCTTTGAGACTGGTACTTGTCCAAAATCTTTTAAAACTTCTAAAACTGTAATAAACAAGATCCCGTCAACTATAGACCAATATCCCTCATAACTAACTTCACTAAAATTTTTGAGTCCCTACTAAAATCAAGAATAGATAACTATATTAAAAAATATAAAGTTATATCGGAAAGTCAGTTCGGATTTCAGAAGGGCAAATCAACTCATCAAGCAATTGTGTCATTAACTCAAGATATCTACGAGGCTGTTGACAAAGGTACCCCAAACATATGTATTTTCCTTGATCTGGCTAAAGCCTTTGACACAGTCTGCCACGATAAACTTCTTCAAATTTTAGAAGACATTGGAGTTAGAGGTACCCTTTTGAAGCTCTTTGCTGACTATCTGAAAAACAGAATCCAACTAGTGAAGGTAGAAACACAATTTAGCGAAGCGGTGACTCCCATATGTGGGGTTCCTCAAGGTACCATTCTGGGTCCTCTACTGTTTTTGCTGTACATAAATAACTTATTTAGGGTTAAAACGGAAGGAAAACTTTTAAGTTTTACTGACGACACCACCGTCTTTTATAAGGGTACAACATGGGAGTCACTGAAAGCTAATATTGAGAAGGATTTTGTTTCCATTAAAGATTGGTTTGATCATAATCTATTAACATTAAATAATGAAAAAAACAACTTTATGGCATTTGGTTCGTACGTTAAAAGCCTACCACAATACGACACGTTAAATTTTAATCAATTTTCGATCAAGATTTGTAAAACAGCGAAATTTCTAGGTATAACGCTAGATCCACATTTGAGGTGGGACTCCCAAGTGAAAACTATTACAAAAAAATTGAGATGTCTCATTTCCTATTTTAAATTACTTAAACCAATTTTATCAATCCCACAGCTACATACGGTTTATGATGCACTCGTGGAGTCGCACTTAAGGTACGGTATCTTAGGCTGGGGCGGTGTCTACAAATCAATACTAAGAGATTTGGAAGTGGCTCAAAAAAGAATACTAAAGATTATTCAAGGGGTAGAAATAACTTACCCTACGGATGACCTGTTTCAGGAATCAAGAAAAATGGATTGTAGACAGTTATATTATTTGAACCTTTTGTTGCGTATGTTTCATGAAAAAAAAGGTTTTAAATTAGTTAACACCAGAAGTTTCAACTACTTACCTATTCCAAAAATGAAAAAAACTATAGGCCAACGTTGTCTAACCTACTTGGGCCCAAAAGTTTATAATAACCTACCTGATAGTATAAAAAATACCAAAGGTAACTCTTATAAAAAAATGTGCAAGAACTATATACTTTAGCAACCCAGGCAGTTCACGGATAATCAAATTGATCTTAAAAACACATATTGAATTACTTCAATTTTGCATATTTTAAATTGTCCAAAACAAGTCAGTTGGCGTTATTCAATTATTTAATAAATTGTACAAGTTTTTATGCCAAATGCCTTTTATTTTATGTTTTAAATAATTACTAACCCTTATAGAGAGAAAAAAAAATTAAAATGGCCGACGGTGAAGGTGATCCGCCGGACTCCGTTTGTTCGATTTGCGAAAAGAAAGTGGAAGATGTTTACTATATTAAATGTAGTGGAATATGCAAGAGAGTATATCACATAAATTGTGCAGGAATTAACAAAACAGTGCATAAGACCTTAGTGACAAGCAAAAACTTAATGTGGAAGTGCGACATGTGTGCAGTTTTAGAAAATAACATTTTGCAAGAGCTGAAACCTATACTAGGGCAACTAGTTCAAGAAGCTATGAAAGAAGCATTAGATGGGATATACATGCGTATACAAAACACAGCGGGAAGCAAGAATAATGTAAATGAAACAAATAATAAGGTTATGGAAAATCAAATCGGCATGGAGACAAAAAACACGGCAATAAACACGCAACATAATAACATAAAGAATACTGTACCACAAAGTACCGCACCCACCACAGCTACCTATCAACAGATGGCAGCACGAAATTCCAAAACAAATGGAGTGCAAACTGTCAATCACAAACAAACACAAGATAATAATAAAACAAGAAAAACTGATTACAGCAATAATACGCTCATAATTAAAGACAAGAATGAGCAAGGTAACGCAGTGAATATATATACGCAGATAAAAGGCGCTATAGACCCATCTAATCTGGAAATTGATATAGTTAACCTAAAAGTAAACAAACAAAACCTATTTATAACCTGCAAAGACCAGGAATCGTACCAAATACTAAAAACTAATGTGGAAAGAATTATAGACACTAACAACTGGGAAATTTCCAAAGCGAATAAGTTTAACCCAAAACTAGTAATAAAAGAAGCAAGAACAGATGATGTTACAGAAGATTAAGATAAACTGGCTAATAAAATAATTAAACAAAATAAGCTAAAAACAGACAACCCAAATTTCGAGTTTAAAGTTGTCAGAAAAATAAACGTCAGAGAGGATTTAAGAAAAAAAGGCATAGAATTAACTAACCTTATAATATCAGTGGATCCCCAAACAAGACAAAACATTCTTCATGGAAATACTTTAAGTATAGGATGGAAAAACTGCATGGTTAATGACTTAACTTTTGTGAAAAGATGTTACAAGTGCTGTGACTTTTTCCATCTAGCCCAAGATTGTAAAAGTGCAACAACAGTATGTGCGATATGTGCTGGAGGCCATGAAACAAATCTTTGCACAAACAAAGACTCAAAAAAATGTGCAAATTGTATCAGGAGCAACAAAAAACACAAAACAGAATACAATATATACCATTATGCATCATCAAAACAGTGTGAATCCTACCAAAAAATTATGAAAAGTGTAATAAACAACACAAACTATGAAGAATATAAACAATAGCAATTACCAAATAAAATATTTAAAAAACCATCAAATAAAACAGAAGAAAATATCAGTCTTATACATCAAAATGCCCAATCCATAGGCAACTGTATAGGTGAGCTGGAAGCTATGCTGGAAGAAAACCCAGATTGCAAGATTCTTTGTATATCGGAGCATTGGAAGTCGGAAGATCAAATTGGCAAGCTTGGGATGAAAAATTTTAGGCTTGTCACAAGTTTCTGTCGAAAGGAGGGACAACATGGGGGTGTAGCTATCTTTGCAAGGTCAGAAATCAAATATAAGGTGAGAGCAGAAATAAATAAACTTTCCAAAGTAAATGTTTTTGAATGTGCAGCAGCTGAATTCACTGTAAATAATAAACCAATGATTGTAATTACATTATATAGACCATGTGATGGCTCAAAGGAGATATTTTTGGATAAATTAGAAAAATTATTACAAAAAATTGTCGAAGAGCATAAATTAATTTTTATTGCAGGAGATTTTAACATCTATATGAAGGATACTGATAAAAATGAGCATAATGCAAATCTAACATCACTTTTAGCCTCATATGGTCTACATAAAACCATTAACCAATATACTAGAATTACCCATAAGACAAAAAGTTGTATTGACAATATTCTTACCAATTATGATAGATTTTATCAGGCAAGTGTTGTAAATGGTGGCATTTCTGATCACACATTTCAAAGAATTGTTTTTAGAGTAGAATATCCCAAAGAAAAAAAACATTATAAGAGATTTTTCAGTGATGAAAATAAGTGCCACTTTTTGGAACACCTGACTGATGAGCAATGGGAGGAAGTATATGAATGTGATGATAAAGATGTAAATAAACAATATACATGCTTCTTAAACAGATTTAAAATAATCTTTAATGCTTGTTTTCCTCGTCAACTGGTGAACAATAAAACAAAAATAAATGAATATTTCAGAAACAATGCTGAAGTTAAGGAATGTAAGAAAAGATTGGATGTGATGCTAGTCCTATCCCAAAACAACGAAAGCTTTAAAAAATATTATAAGGATTGCAAAAATGAATACAATAGGACACTAAATAAAATTAAATTGCAAAGATATGAGAAAAAAATTAACAATTCCGATAACAAAAGCAAATGTTTATGGAATATTCATAATGAAATAACCGGCAAAAAACATAAAAACGATGATTGCCAAATAAAAGGGGACCCAAAGGAAGTAGCTAACAAATTTAATAATTTTTTTACAAATGTCGCCCCCAAACTACTAAAAGATGCAAAAAATATATCATTTAAGTGTAAAATTTAAAATAACATAAAATCAATGTTCTTAAGACCAGTCACCCCGAGTGAAATACTAGCCCTTACTAAAAGAATAAAAAATAAACACACCAGTGGGATGGATGAAATACCATGCAGCCTAGTAAAATATTGCATTAATAATATCAAAGAGGTAATATGCTACATAATAAATAATTTCTTTAAGCAGGGAATTTTTCCGGATTTACTTAAGGTTGCAGTTGTCAAACCAATATATAAAAAGGGCGATGCAGAAAAGGAAGAAAACTACAGACCAATAAGCATATTACCCAGTTTCTCAAAATTATTCGAGATGGCTGTGTGCGATCGCCTGGTTGACTTCATGTCGGGATGTGACTTATTTAGTCCAGCTCAACATGGTTTCATAAAAGGACGCTCCACTCAAACAGCAATTTTCCAATATACAAAAAACATATCGCAATTCTTGGAGCAGGGGTTGCTGGGCCTTGGTATTTCATTAGATCTATCAAAGGCATATGATTGCCTAGACTCTAACCTTTTATTGATAAAGCTGGACAGGTATGGCATTCGGGGTGCTGCTTTGGAGTGGATTAGGTCCTACTTGGCGGCGAGGAAGCAGGCAGTGGGGATTAATGACTGCATGTCAGATATCCAGGATATTGTCCTGGGAATTCCACAGGGGAGTATTCTTGGACCAATTTTGTTTTTAATCTTTGTAATAGACTTGTGTTATATTGTAGAAAATGAAAACGAATTTTGTACAAACTATGCTGATGATAATAACCTTCTCGTGGGTGCTAAAAACTTCTGCGAACTTAACGAAAAATGTGAGAGATTGTTTTCATTAGCTAAGACCTGGTATACTGAAAACAAACTTATGCTGAATGATGATAAAACCAATATAGTAGTCTTTAGGACTAGACAATCTAGACAGAAAATACCTGAAACTATCCTAATAAATAATTGCCAATTAAAAATAGCCAATGACTCAAAATTTTTGGGAGTTTGTATCGATGAGTTCTTAGACTATGATTCGCACATTAACAATCTCTGTAGTAAACTGAACGCAATTAAATACGGAATAAGAGTAGTTCATAATTATTTAAATCTTAATAGTATAAAGACGATATACTTCGCTAACTTTGAGTCAAAGGCAAGGTACGGTATTATCTTTTGGGGCGGAAGCACCCGCATAGAAAAAATATTTGTCATACAGAAGGCTGTGATTAGAATAATGCTTAATAAAAAATATAAAGAATCTTGCAGAGGAGAATTTAGAAATAGGAAAATTTTAACAGTATATGCGCTATACATTTATGAATGCTTAACATTTTTATTTAACAATAGACATAACTTTATATCACGTAATGGTGGATACGAAACCAGAACTCTAAATCTAGATTACCCTCAGCATGCTTTAACAAAAACAGAAAAAAGTCCGCACTATAGATGTATAAAATTTTATAATAAACTACCACATAGGTTTAAGTCAATAAATAGATTAGATGTATTTAAAGTAAATATTAAGAAGTTTTTAATTGAGTTGGAGCCATATTGTTTAAATGATTATTTAAAAACCAATCTGTAATGTGATATATGTATTTGTGACGTCATTCCATTTTTAAGAATTTATAATTTTATTGTAAATACGAAACTTTGGAATAAAGATTATTATTATTATTATTATTATTATTATTATTATTATTATTATTATTATTATACATAACTTACTAACACTTATTATAATTGTTATTTACATATATTTCTAGTATTGTCCAAAACAAGTCAGTTGGCGTTATTCAATTATTTAATTAATTGTACAAGTTTTTATGCCAAATGCCTTTTATTTTATGTTTTAAATAATTACTAACCCTTATACATAACTTACTAACACTTATTATAATTGTTATTTAAATATATTTCTATTTCTATACACGCACAAATGTTTAATTACATTTAAGTGTTTTAGCATATTTATTGATTTTAATGTAACTTGCAATCTATGTTATTTTTACTATTAATCAATAAATATTATTATTATTATTATTATTATTATTATTATTATTATTATTATTATTATTATTATTATTATTATTATTATTATTATTATTGTGCATAATTGCGTAACAACTTTAATTGAATCTCTCGCTGCCCAGAACCAAACTCTACTGGCTGCAAAAGCATCGCGCTCGTCCTACTTTCCACTCGTCTGTCCTGACTCAGCATATCAGGAAAATACAGAAACAGGGGAAGTACCGCTAACACGGCCATTCTGTGATCGGAGCGTCCACGCGACTTCTCCACTTATTTTTCTTTTACCTATAAAAGATAAGACAGCAGTATGTGTGCCTAATAACATAATATTAAACATATTATTTAAATCATTGTTGGTGGAATTGCCACCCTTACTGTAAACATTATTATTTTAAAATGGGAATGCCATTTTTCTTTGAAAATAAACTTGGTAGGATTGCCACCTAGTGGGATCGCCACTAATCATTATTTAAATTATTGTTGGTGCAATTGCAAGTAGTAACTGGAGTCCTACAGGGAAGTATTATGGGACCGCTGTTGTTCATAATATATGTCAACGACATGGTTGAAAACGTAAGTGACTGCTTTTTGACATTGTTCGCAGATGATACATCATCAATTGTTTCTGCGGGGGATGTGGAACAGCTTACTATTAACGCAAACTTATCTGTCAGACAAGTGGCATCTTGGTGCAATGACAGCGGTCTTATACTAAATTCCTCAAAAACGCAACATATGGTATTTAAACCTACTGGCGTTAAGTACGATTGCAGTCCACTGATAAAGCTTAACAAGGTTTCATTAGAGCAAAAATGCGAAATCAAATTTTTGGGAATATTCCTCGATTCAAGCTTATCTTGGGAATATCACATAAATGAACTAGTAAGCCGATTGGCAACAAAAAACTTCTGTATTAGAAACTTGAGAAATTTTGCAAGTTTGAAAACCTTGCTAAATTTTTACTATAGTTGTGTATATTCTCATCTGTCCTATGGAATATTATGCTGGGGAAACTCTTCTTATATTCAAAGGGTGTTTATATGCCAAAAGAGAATCATTCGAAGTATTTTTAATTTAAGGCCAACTGTCTCGTGTCGCCCTTTTTTTATTGAAAACAAAATTTTAACTGTGTTTTGTATATATATTCTACAATGTGTTTTATATGTGCGAAAAAATATAGAGTCTTTTGAAAAAGTTTCT